TCCCAGAGGAGGGGGCACAAGGGCTGATTGTCCTTGAGAATGTCCCTGCCTGCAACTCTACAGTCTGGGGCTTGGGGGGCAGGGCTGGGCAGGAATGTACATTCATGAGCGCGGGGTCGGGCAGGAAGCAGGTGTGACGCCCCGAGGGAGAGAGCCCAGCGACCAGACATCACCCCTGAGGTTCTGAGAGCTGCCCGGGAGGACTCAGCCCGCGGTGCCCGCGCCACACCCGCACCAGGGTCAGACCAAGACAAACGTCTCACAAGGCTGTTGCCTTTGTGATGCGGATCCCTTGTTGCTTCCTGTCATCCTTGTTTTCCACGTTTCTTGGGCTCCATCCAGTGCTGAGTAGTGAGTCAGAGCCAGAAGCTGTGAGGAGCTAAGAGGCCACAGAGGGGAGCAGCCCGGCTCCCGGCGCCACACGGGGGCCCTTCCCTCCAGCAGCCTGTAGCCTCGAGGTGCCCATAGGAGGAGTTGGGTGTGGCCAGGGTGGGTGGCTTGTGCTCTTTGGCAGGGCCGGGGAGCAGCAAGAATATTCCTGGCTGCACCTCCCTCCCTGGGCTTCCCAGGGGAGGACTCTTGCTTCACAGAAGACACAACACCCCACAGGCCATTGCTGTCCTTCCCTCCCTCCTCCCCCGAGCATCCCACCCAGCCTGGGCTCATCTCTGGTGTGTCGCCGTCCAACATGGCCTTGGGGGGAAGGAAAGAGCTGAAGCCAGGAAGGGTGTAACAGCATTTTCCCTTGCGGGACCCTGGTCTGTGACACACCCACTGGACACTGCGCTGGCCTGAACTCCTGGTGGGTGGATGCTTGGGCTGGTGTGGAAATAAAATGCGCCTGAAGGGAGGGCTGAAGAGAGGGACCAGGCATGTGAGTGAGCTCCCACAGTGCCGTGTGCAAACGGGTGGCAAAGATAGAGACGGTAGCTGCATGCCAGGTGCTAGTCAAGCCAATCCCGAGCACAAAGCCATGAGGTCGGTGCTGCTATTCCCATTTTACCAGTGAGGAGGCTGGGTCACAGTGAGGTCCAAGATCACATGGTTGATACAGAGCTAAGCCGAGATTTTAACCCGGCTCAGGAGTTTGCACTCTTAGCCATGGCTCCATATCAACAAAAATGTGGGTATTGCTGTCCTCATTTTACAAATGAGGAAACTGAGGTACAGTGAAGTCAAATGCCTTGGCCAGTACCAATTGCGAGGGAGAAGCAGCCAAGACAGGCACCTCGGATTCGGACTCCTGACCGGTGCCCAGGTGTGGGAGGCGGGGGGAGTGCTAGAGTCAGGATGTAATTGCATCCCGCTTGCCTTCTCCACTGAAGCTTCTGCCTTCCTCCGGAAGCTCCGAGCTCTCCTTTCAGGGGACAGGAAGCTAATAGACAAGGAGCCAGGCAGGGAGTGAGCAGGTGAGGAAATCAGAAACCTGCACCTGCCAATCCAGGAATCCGTCCAACACGCCTGCTGGGATCGACAGCCGGCTGCCCAAGTAGTGTCCACACGCCCGGGCAAGGGGGCAAACGGAACGCAGTAGAGGAAGTTGGAGTTTCCAGAAAGGTAAACATGGAGTAGGAGATAAAAGAGAGGGTTAAGACGTGATAAAATGGTTTGGAACCAGAGACGCTTTTAGTTGGAAAGAACCACAGGGAATAATGAATCCAAACCCCTTATTTATCAATAATGAGAGCTAACATCGATCGGGCACTTATTGCCTGCCAGACTCCGGGCTCAGGGTTGTGCCTACTACACTGCTGTGAGGCAGATTCTGGTTTTTTTTTCCCTCCAGGAGGGAACTGAATCAGAAGTTAATTGGCCCAATAAGAGGTAAGCCCAGGCAGTTTCCCTCACTCCAAAGCCTACATTCGTTTGTATTCTTTAATTTTTTATGATGGAACACTTTAAATATATGCAAAATTAGATGGAATATTATAATGAATCCCCATAAATCCATTGATCTACTGCAATAATTATCAACACAGGAAAGTTCTTGTTGCATCATCTCTCTCCTTACCCATCTTCTACCACTGGATTAGTTTTTTTAAATTTCAGAATATTATGAGGGTAGAAACATTTTGAAGGAAATTTCATACATATTATTTCTGTATAATATCATTCTGGTACCATCTGTGTGGACTTTCGGATGTACCTCCAAGAAAAAGGACTTCCTTGACCACAATACCAGTGTTACATCCAAAGAAAATAACAATGATTTCTTAATATCATCAAACATCCCAACACTGTTCAAACATCTCAGGGTGTCCCGTAAGTGCATTTCTACAGTTGGTTTGTTTGAATTGGAATCAGAAACCGCCGCACACCGTTGGTGAGGCCTCTTTAACCCCTCCCGCGCAGGTGGGGCCTCGGCCCTGGCGCTCGCTGGCGGAAGAAATGCAGTCCTTCGTCCTGTTAACTTCTGACTGTTAGCGCTCCCTGACTGTGTCGCTGTGGTGCCATTTAGCGTGTCCCTCCATTCCCTGTGTGCCCTTAAAACTGGTGGTTAGGCCTCGCGGCTTGGCCTCGCGGCTTGTCATTCACACTCAGTCGTTTGGCGAAGACACCTGGCAGACGGCATCCAGGCGGCATCCAGGCGGCCGTGCCTGCGGCGCCCCAAGATGGAGGGTGTGCCGGCGCCGCCGGCAGCCGCGAAAAGCCGCGGAAGGCCCGCCTCCGCCTCAGCCCCGGCCCTTCGCCGTCAGCCCCGCTCCACCTCCAGGCCCCGCCCTTCCAGGCCCCGCCCTTCCGGCCCCGCCCTTCCGGGCCCCGCCCTTCCTGGCCCCGCCCTTCCAGGCCCCGCCCTTCCAGGCCCCGCCCTTCCAGGCCCCGCCCTTCCAGGCCCGGCCCTTCCAGGCCCCGCCTCCGCCTCCAGGCCCCGCCCTTCAGCCGTCCAGGCCCCGCCTCCGCCCCAGGCCCCCCCTCTGCCTCCAGGCCCCGCCCTTCCGCCCGCCCAGGCCCCGCCTCTGCCTCCAGGCCCCGCCCTTCCGCCCGCCCAGGCCCCGCCTCCGCCTCCAGGCCCCACCCTTCCGCCCGTCCAGGGCCGACTCCGCTCTTCTCTGTGGGCAGGAAGGGCGCAAGCGCTGTGCCCCTCACCCTGCGCCTGCGCGTGCAGTGCCAGCGCCAAGACTGAAACACAGACAGACGGAACTGCCCCCACGAAGGGAAGAGACCCGCCTCACACCCACGGGGAGGGCGGCGGCTAGGACGGGGCTGCGGACACCACGCGGCCCTCCGGCGGCGAGCGGGCCAGGCGTCACAGCCGCCTTGCAAGGAGGCCGGAGGCCGGGGCGCCGTGCCTGAGTGCGCGCGGAAGGGCGGGACACACGGCGCCCTCGGCGAAGGCCGCGCAGAGCTGCGCCATGCTGAGGAGGGCCGTCGGGAGGGAAGAGCGGCTGGGAGGAGGTTTGGCAGGGTTAGGTGGCTCGAGTGGTGGGCACCGGGGTCCCGGCTGTGGAGCCAGCCCGCCTCCTCGTTACCGCTGGTCTCCGAAACCCATCAGGCGGGTTTCCTGGGCGGGCACAGAGGGGCCCCGCGAGGGCCTACCCCAGCGAAGCAGGCGTGGGTGCCCTCTCGCTCTCTCCCTGTGGAGCTGGGCTCCCTCCGCGAAGGGGAGTTGATGCAGAGCAGAGTTAAGTAACTTACCCGTCATGTAGCGAAAAAGGCGAAAGCTGGACAGTGAATCCAGGAAGCCCTGATAGTCATGCCTGCTAGCTGTTGGTCAGCTCATTGAAAATTAGAAAAATGATAATATGGAGAGATATTTAAAGTGTTACATCCGAAAAAGAGCCTGGAATATGAACAATAATGTTAAAAGGACTCAAAACTAAACAGAAGAGTTTCCCACCAGCTCAAAATAACACAATTCAAGCATCAGTAATTGCAGTGGACTGAGGCACGTCAGCATTTGTAAACCTCTGGGTTTAAAATTACTCAGGAAAAAAACCCTTCATTGGTCACCTTTAGAGAAAACAGGGAACAATTCTTTTTTTTTTTTTTTGAAAACTGGTAAATAGAGGGAAAAAAGAACCAAGCATTCGTCCTGATTTCACTGTGCAGAACTTAAGGTAACTGAACAGTTGATGGGAGCAAATTCCCTTTTATGAAAGTAGTCCAGATAATGAATGATGCAGAGTAATGGAATAGCATCTTGATAAAATAAAGGATCAGACAATGGATGTTAATATTGCAGAAACAGAACCAAACAGTATGTATTCGTGCTTCCCAACGGAATTATCATACAACCATCCATGAACTATTATCCCCCCAAATCAAAACCTGACTCACATTATACTTCTACATACGACTGCCAATTTATAAGAAATGCAAGAGACAGAGAAATGTTTTAAATGACATCAAGGGGGGTGAAATCAGCCAAATCCACAGTATGGAACACTTAGTAGGACAAAGGACTTGGGTTTTTAAACACATAAATTATAAGGTGAAAGTGGGGGAAGGGGATATAAGATTAAAAGAGACCAATTGCAATGATCTTATTGGGATCCTATGGGGGGATACCTCGAAATATTTTTGAGACTATGAGGGAAAAATTTAACTACTGCCTGGATATTTGATGACATTAAGGAATTATTGTTCCTTTTTCAGGTGTGATGGTGACATCATAGTTATGCTTTCAGAAGAGGTCCTTGTATTTTAGAGATGCATCCTGAAATATTTGTGGATGGGAATTTATGATGTCTTAGATTTGCTTTGGTGTATTCCAAGAGCAAATGGGAGCCAATGGGGCACTGATACAATGGAGATGGGCCGTGAGTTGATAATTGTTGAAGCTGACTGCAGGTGTTTGGGGGCTCGTTATAGTCTTCTTTCTGTTTTATACAGGCTTGAAGATTTCCATAACAAAATTTTTAAAGGTACAATCATACCCTAACTTTGTTCTTACTTAACACATTTAAATATTTTGCTGCAGAATTGAGGGCTAGTATAATATTAATATAAGGCAATGGTGGTGTGTTAAATGTCTGCCCTATTGCTCACCAGCTGGGTAACCAGCATAAGGACCTTAATGTTAATGTACCTCAGTTTCCTCATTTGTAAAATGGGGCTAACAATATCAACTACTTACCACTTCATTGAGTAATTATGACAATAAAATGAATGACATTTCTCCAGTGCCTAGAAGAGTCCATGGCACATATTAAACACGGTATGGATTTACTATTTTTATTTTTATTACTTTTTTGCCTTTGAAGGCATCTTCCCTCATTTTGTATTTCATACTCAACAACTCAGGCTCAACCCTTAATGCATCACCTGCAATTTTCCAGTTTTTTTTTTTAAGGCAGAGCAAGAACTTAAAGACACTTGTGAAGCAATCTGAGGGCAAATCTGTGAGAGTTAAATGATTTATGATTTACTTTCAATGTTTTATAGTTGCTCGTCCTAATATGACAACTTTGGGGCTCACCTTTATCCAGTTTTTTCAAAGCGACTTGTTTCTTTTAAGATTGTTCTTTCTGTTTTATGGGTTCATCATTTACATAATTTCTTCACACATTACAACTTTTCCACTGCAACCTTTGTAAACGTGCCTGGGAACAAACAAAAGTGACTTGAGGTAAGCATCCCATAAGTTTTGGCGTGTTATGTTTCCGAAGGACAAATTTTCTGGGTATAGTATTCTTAACTGACGGATTTTTTCTCTTTCAGCATTTTGAATATATCATCCCACTCTCTGGCCTGCAGATTTCTGCTGAGAAATCTACTGATAGTCTTGTGGGGTTCCCTTTAATGTGATAAGTTGCTCTTTTCTTGCTGCTTTCAAAATTCTCTCTTTTGAGAATTTGATTATAATGTTTATCAGTGATAATCTCTTTATGCTTAATCCACTTGGAGTTCTTTGAGCTTCATAGATCTGTATGTTCATTTCCCTCTTCTGATTTGGGAAGTTTTCTGTCGTTATTTCTTTAAATACATTGTCTTTCTCTTTCTCTGCTCCTTTTGTATCTACCATAATGCATATATTGGTTTGCTTGATGGTGTCCCATAAGTCATGAAGACTTTGTTCATTAACAGGTGATGTCTATTTTCCCCTCTTTTAATCCTGGCTGACCTGAGTTGCTTAGACCAAGTAGAATGTGATGAAAGCGATGCTGTGTGAGTTCTGGGCCCAGGATGCAGAAAGCCTGGCAGCCTTTTTAGAATGCTCTCTGAAATTGCCATGTAGGAAAACCAACCTAGACTATGGAAAGATGAACTGGCACATGGAGAAGTGCTTCTAGCATGTGAGTTGAACCTTCTAGTCCAGCATACCCTCCAGCTGTATGAAAAGCCAAGTATTAAACCAGGTGAAACCAACAAAAGAAATACCCAAAGTTATTAATAATTTATTGTTGCCTTAAGCTACTAAAATTTTTGTTTTGTTCTTTTCACATAACATAACATTTACCATTTTAACCACTTTAAAGTGTACAACTCAGTTGCATTTAATACTTTCATAATGTTGTGCAACCACCTCCACTACCTAGTTGAGAACATTTTAACACCCTAAAATGAAACCTTGTTCCCATTAAGTAGTCATTCTCCGTTCCCCTCTTTCCAGCCCCTGACAACCACTATCTATTTTCTGTCTATGAATTCACCTATTCTGGATATTTCATATAAATGGAATCATATACTAGTTGGCATTTTGTGTCTGGCTTTATTCACTTAGCAATGATGTTTTCAAGGTTCATCCATGTTGTAGCATGCATCAGTATTTCACTACTTTTATGGCCAAATAATACTCCATTGTATGGGTGTATCGCATTTTGTTTATTCATTAGTTGAAAAGGATTTGGGCTATTTTCACCCTCTGGCTATTGTGAAAAGTGCTGCTATGAACATTCCTGTACAACATTTTGTTTGGGAAACTATTTTCTGTTTTCAATCTTTTGATTATATATCTATCAGTAGAATTGGTAGATCATATGGTAATTCTATATTTGGCTTATTTTAAAACCACCAAATGGTTTTCCATAGCAGCCATACCATTTTCATTCCCACCAGCAATATACAAGGGTTCCAGTTTCTTAACATCCTCACCAAGTCTTGTGAGTTTCCATTTTTAAAATTATTGCCATTCTAGTAAATGTGAAGTGATATCCCATTATGGGTTTGATCTTCATTTCCTTAATGACTAATGATATTGAGTATCTTTTCATGTACTTTTTGACCATCTGTATATCTTCTTTGGAGAAATGTCTATGTCTATTCAAGTCCTTTGCCCATTTTTTAATTGGGTCATTTGTCTTTTTGTTGTTGACTTATAAGAGTCCTTCATAAATTCTAAACATTAGATCCTTATCAGAGATATAATTTGCAAACACTTTCTCCCATTCTGTGGACTGTCTTTTCACTTTCTTGATAGTGTCTTCTAAAGCATAAAAGTTTTTAATTTGGTGAAGTCCAATTTGTCTATTTTTGTTGTTGCTGCTTGTGTTTTTGGTGTTATAGCTAAGAAAACATTGCCAAATCCAAGGTCACAAAGATTTACCCCGATGTTTTTTCTAAGAGTTTTATAGTTTTAGCTCTTATATTGAGGTCTTTGATACATTTTGAGTTAATTTTTGTATATGTGAGGTAAAGGTCCAACTTCATCTTTTTGCATGTGCATACCCTGTTGTCCTAGCACCATTTGTTGAAAAGACTATTTTTTCTCCATTGATTGGTCTTGTCACCCTTGTCAAAAATCAATTAAGTTTTGAAGTGGTTATCAGATAGCAATAATTAACTGACACACTTCTTGACCCAGTGAACTCATACCTATACCTAGTGAACTCATACTTATCATCTTTCCTTGAAACTTTACAAATAGAGTATGTTCACAATAATGGAAAATTAAGGCACACAGTCATCTGATAGGCCATGAATGGACAGTCAGCCTGCATTATGTTTAAGGTTAAGATTTCAGGAATAATCAGTGATGTTTTGAGATGTAAATTTCCAAAAATATGGCTGACCTCACAGGTTTTATGTATATTAGTTATCTATTCCTGCATACAAAATTATCTCAAAATTTAGTTACTTAAGACAAATATATATAGATATATATCACATAATTTCTGTGGGTAAGAAATTAAGGACCACAGGAATGCTTGATTATACATATTATAGCAGTTGGCTTTTCCCAGGGTGAGTGATCCGAAAGAGCAAGTCAGAAACCACAATTCTTTTTAACCTTGCCACTGAAGTCATGTACCATTCTTTCAAAATATACTATTAGTTATATAGATTGGCCCCATTAGTTGTGGAAGAGGAGTTACTACACAGGAGTTATATAGATTAGCCCCATTTGTTGTGGAAGAGGAGTTACTACACAGGACATGAATTCCAGGAAGAAAGGATCATTGAGGACCATTTCAGAGACTGACTATCACAGTCCACCTTCTGGCTCTCAGTGATTTATACCCTCTCACATGCAAAATATACTCACTCCTTCCAAGTCCCCCAAACTCTCCTTTCTTCATAGCATCAGCTCAAAGTTCAGATTCTCATTATCAAATCAGGTTCATGTGCAGATGAAGGTCTTCAAGTCCAATTACTTGAATATAGTTATTCTTGATCTGGAGACCTGTGAACTAAAGAAATAGGTTGCCTGATTCCTCCCCGCCCCCCAAATAAACCCAATATACAATGGTAGCTTAGGCATAGGATTATCACATAGGAGATAAAGGGAACCACATTGATCCTTAACAATTCTAAAATTCATCAGAGCATTTGTAGGTAGTTCCTTGATTGGAAGTCAAGTCCTGAGGATAATTCTCCATAGTTCTTGGCTCTAACTTCTGGGATCATGGTTTTGTCCTTTAAGCCATTCTCCATTTTCTGTGAAAGGTAGCCCATGTTCATAGCTGAGTGGTTTTCCTAGACTTCTTCCTGCTTATAAATGTTAGGGTCCAAAGGCCTCTTCATTTTGTGCCATCTTTGCCTCTTTTAGTCCTTGCTAGAGATGCTTTGGATAATAGTATTCTCTTAAAATTTTGTGGGTCTCCTATAAATATTATTAATGTTGACTACATTAGTCAAAAGCCACACTCACAAATCTCTTTGATATAAAGATTTGTATATATTGGGCTTCTGCTGAGGCTGATCAGGGACATTACCCTTAAACTTGTTAGAAGCCCTGTGGTTTGACTTAACAGCTGTGTAAGGCGCTGCTTTGGATCTTTATGAGACCTTAATAAAGTATTTTATAGCCATAGGCTTCATATTTATATCATGCTTTCCTGAGAGGGCTTTGGATTTGATCTTTGCTCAGAAGCCATTTCTAAATTGCAGGGCAGAGGGTGAGAGTGTGAGTGGTGGCCAGACAATGCCATGGGAAAGAGATTGGTCAGAGACAGCTTGGTGGAGAAGGCGACACTCGATCAAACCCTGAAGGCAGAGAGGTGGCAGCGTGGGGGAGAGCTTCCCAGGACAAGGAGACAGGACACGCCGAGACACTGGTGGCGGCGTCTCTGGGCAGCAGAGCGCGGGTGTGAGAGCACTGGTGACCAGCCTGGGGTTCAGGGCTTTGTAAGCAATTAAAGGGACTTTGGCTTTTGTGCTGAGTGATGTGGGAAGCCAGTGGAGGGTTTTTGAACAAAAAAGTGGCATAATTGGGCTCAGTTTTAAGAGGATCACTGTGACTGCTGTGCTGAGAAAAGTCTAAGGGGAACAAGGGATAGGAGTCCAGTAATTAGGCCATGGCAACAATAAAGCAGAGAGATTATTGAGGTTTGGAATTGAAGGAGGAGTGAGTTGACAGATCATATTTTGAACAAAGAGCCAATGGGCTTTGCTGATGGGTTGAGCAGGGAGCATGAGAAATGAAGAGCAGTCAAATGTGACTTCACAGGTTTGGTCTATCAAGGAAAAGAATGTAGTTGCCTTTTATTAAAATGGGAACCACTATAAGAGGAGTGAGATTTGGGGGCAGGGAGTATAAATTAAGAGTTCTGTCTTAGACACACTCAGATTGAGTTGTTTGTTAGACATTCAAGTGGAAGGTTGACTAGGCAATTGGATAACCAAGTCTGAAATTTTAGGAAGTGAGTGTAGTTACAGACAAGGTCAAAGGATTAAATCCTAATCACTAAGAGGTTGGGAAAAAGAGAAAGAACAAGCAAAAGTGACTAACAGCACTGTCAGGGAAGTGGGAGGAAAACCAACTTAGTGTGATGTTCTGAAAGTGAAATGAAGGACTGAGTCTTCAGTCATGTCTAGTGTTCCACACTAATAAGTCAGGTATGATAAGGGCTGAGAAGTGACCACTCTTCTTAGCCACCAAACAGAACTTATATTAAAAAACAATTTTAATGGTGTTGTGGTTTTTGCATTACCATATGTATGAATATCTGTATATTTAATTTAAATTCTATGTATGGTTAAAAATAAATGTAACTATATATATACAAACATATCCAGACATATAATTATTTATAAATACTTCCTCAGCCTATTTAGTGAACCTAAATTATATGCTTTTTATTTATAAGCTAAAGTGGTGTTTCTCAACTGCAAACCCCAACCCACCCTATCATCACCCAACCCTGTAAACTGTGCAATTTATAACCTTCTTCGAAATAAAACAATCAACTTAAGTGAACAATCAGGAAATAAATCAGCAGAGTGCCATCTGTAGGAAACCAAGCTAAAGATATGGCCAAGAAAGTCAAAGGCATCTTCTTGCAGGAGCACTGAAAGCATTAAATTCCCAGCCTTATGCACACGTTGGAAGTCAGTGCCAGCAACAGCAGACATGCAGCATGGAGAGTCCATGCCCATGTGAGTTAATGCCTGGAGTAAGTGTTGTGGGACAAATATTAACCTGGCTTAACATAGCCTTTCACTTAGAATGGGAGCCATAGACTTAAGTCATTTATAAAGATTGACTATTAGTTCACAAAATTGGGTTTTTAAAAAACATCCCCAAATTGGATATTGACAGGAGTTTTGTCCTTCAGGAGAAAAATTTTTGTTAATTCCAGTAGTACAAATATTAAACTGGCATAGCAGAAGTACCAACCAAACAAATGAGACATTCAACCAATAAAAGTGGCTGCCCAATCAGTTAGAACAGCAGCAGGTTGCAAACAGCCTGTGAGTCCACTGCGGGCAGCCTGGCTGCAACAGCCACCATCGTTGTGGAGAATGTTTTGGAAACTCTCTATCTGATGCCACAGATGCATGTATGATCCAAGCCAGAATGTCAGCTGTGATATGTGTTATAGTTATGCATAGCTTTTGATTCTGAACAGTAATTGCTCCACTTGGTCATGACCCTGATTGACCAGAACTGACACCATATCCCCAGCACTTCTTCTAAATCCACTCCAAAGAATGTTCATAGGCAATGCAAGTGAGCCCAGAAGAAAGGTCCCACTGGTGGGCAGACTCTCCTGGGGGTCTGCTCTTCCCCAGGCTCCTTTAGTTCTCCCTGACAAGAGGCAAGGGCAGGAGGCAGATCCTAGGAGTCAGGTTGGGTGAGAAGGACCATCTACCAAGGCAGCCCATGAGTCAAATGGAGAGAATGGATGAAGCCTGGAGTTAAGAGAGACAAGGACAGGCATCCTTACAAAGGACCTGGTAAGAAAATGCAGGGAGAGCAGGGATGCTCAAGGGTGGTTCTAGAATGCCTGAAACAGAAACTCTTGACTTGTTGAGAACCTTTGAGACTACACAACAAGGGCTGGAAGAGGAATGAGACAGCGAGAGAATTATTGGCCGAGCCAGGCGGGGCTGGCACCTGGCACCACGTAACCGGTCAGGGCAGGGGACTGAGCATTTCCTAATGGCAGGGGACACAGCACTCCTTTCTGTCCTCATCGGCTACTTAGAACCAGTACAGTTTCATTATAAAAGTGACATCATTCAGCAGTACTTTCCAAACAGCTTCTGAAAGCAGAAGGTAAGAATAAAAAGATATTTTGTGGTAATTTTTCAAGGGAGGATAAAAATACATATAACATCTTCGCTTTACAACTACTCTAATTTTTTTTTACCTGTAATATAAAGTTCAAAGACGATTGTGCATGAAAATGGGCTTAAGGGCATATTACAGAGCTGCCCAAATAGATTAGCATGGCTAATATAGAGAGTGACAATATTAACTGCTCTTTCCTAAGAATTTATCCAGAGGAGGGTCCAGGTCAGGTGCAGTGGCTCACACCTGTAATCCCAGCAACTCATGAGGCTGAGGCGAGAGGATCACTTGAGCCCAGGAGTGCAGGGCTACTGTGAGCCATCTTCAAGCCACTGCACTCTAGCTTGGGTGACAGCAAGACCCCAACTCTAAAAAATAAATTTTAAAAAAGGTAGTACCCTGGTAGTCTACACCTGCCAAGAAATGGCTTACAGTGTTCTGGGTTCCATATGACAACTCCGCAGACGTGTAACACACAATGTTCTGCTTTTAAGAAAACTAAAACCTGACTCTGTATCAATTTAAATCACTTAAGAAAGTGACATTCTACAATGAGAACATATAGAGAAGTGAATGAGACTGTTAAGAGGTTTCAGGAGGTCTAGGCCACTTCTATTTTTGCAAATGTTAGAATATTAAATAATAAAAACATTTTAAGTGCCAAAACAAGATTACAAAAACTGGCATATTTTAAATACATACATGTGACAAATTAACTTTTCACAGCAAAAAAAGTAAAAGTAAATGACTTAATTGTTCACACAATAACAGAATTTATTTTAAAAGCATTAATTTGCAATGCTTCAAAAGTGGTGTGGTCTAAGTATGCAGTAATAGAACATAGGTTAAAATTTATATGAAGGACAATTCCATTAATAACTGTCAGTATGTTGCCCTGACTATGTATGTTATGGCTTCATTTGAGGGTAAAGAAAAAACCGCTAGAATAGAGTCCTTTTGTGGATGAGAGGTGTGAGCCAAGTGCCCCAACTCTCATCTTCAGTAAAGCCTGGTGGTGACAAGGTCTCTGGGTTGAACTGATTCTTGGGATACCAACTAGAAGTGTGACCTGCAGCAGTTCATCCATGCTCTGTTACATGTGTTTCCCAATCTGTAAAGTAAGGGAAGATGATTACTGCGGATCCTTCCAGTTCTGTCTAGTATATTTTCACCTATTCTGGTTTGTTCACTACGCACTTCCACAGCACCTCTTTGCTTGCACCAGAAGAGCTAGTTGCTGGAATTTCCTTGGTGCTAGTCAACTGTGTAAAAGCTTATTCGTTCCTTTGACTACACTTCAATTCAGTCTCTTGCTCTGGGTTCTTTTCTTTGCCACTGGGCCAGCTTTCAATAAACATTTCACGAGTTGTCTCAATAATTAACAATTAACAAGACAGCCTTGCTGCTAGGGGTTGGTGCTTTCAAAGAGCAGTGAGCAGGAAGGCTGCGGTGCTTTCTGCACTCACAAGGCCCCACTACTGTCACTGTCATCTGCTGGAGGCGGCGGCGCCTGAGAAGTGTGACCAATCTCATTAAAGATCTCTGCTGGGACAATCGACTCACTGTCACCGGACCACATCGACCCTCAACACCGGCCATTCAGTTCCAAGGTGCTTGTAAACACCCACAACCGCAAGTGCGCTTCAGTTCGGGCCCTGAGTTCTCTGAGAGACGCGGGATAGCCAGGCGGGCCCTAGGCGGCCCTCGTGCTCCTGCGTGCTCCTGCGTGCTCCTGCGTGCTCCTGCGTGCTCCTGCGTGCTCCTGCGTGCTCCTGCGTGCTCCTGCGTGCTCCTGCGGCCTCGCTGCGGGCGCCCAAGGCGGAAAAGGAGCACGAGGTCGCGTGGGGCCAGCACGAAACTGGGCGGCCGCGCGCCCTGACGAGACGGCCGCCTGCCTGCGCTGTGCCCTGCGCCACAGGCGGGGCCCACCGAGGCCGGCAGGGTGGTGAGAGCGCCTCCGTCCCTGTCCCGTCGCCGCGGCCGGCCCGCGCCCAGAGAGCCCCCGCCGCCCGCCGCGTGGCGCCCCCGCCGCGTGGCGCCCCCGCCGCCGCTGCAGTTGTCAGGCCGCAGCGCGGGGAGCTTCGATTCGCTCTCTGACGCGGGACACTAAACTAGCCGCACCTGCCCACGCTGAGCCCGCGCGGACTCGCCCGTTCCGCCTGCTCCGCGGAGCTGTCTGACGGAGAGTAACAGACTTGGAAGCTGCCGTTCCGGTGCGACCGGTCGAAGGATGACATGAGGGGCAGTGAGCGAAGTTAAAGGAGCTCTTCAGCTTCCGGAAGTGGGGCCCCTGGCCGTGTTTCCTCTCGCGTTTGCAGCTCGGGGGAGGCCGCGTGTGGGACGTCCTCACTGTGCGCGCCCTTCCTGTGAGGCTCGGAAGCCTGCAATGCCCAGCCACCTACCGTACCAGGAGGTGGAAACAGGGATGCTCGCGGCTTACGGTTTATACCAACAAAAAGTTGTAAGACAATATAAATGTACATCATGAAAATGGCTGAATAAATAATAGTCCATCCCTACTCTGGATGTTTTTAAAAGTGAAGTTGACCTGTACATACTATTTTTAAGTAAAAGAAGACTATGTATCATTAAGTCACTTTCAATAAAAGTAAAGGCAAAATTATACATTTGTGCTTTCACATATATGTATATAAACATAAAGAAAATAGTCTGGAAGGGTGTAGCCCACGCTTAACGGTGGGTATGCCTGGAGAAATCAGTGGGATGGTAGGGTGAGGTATAAGGCAAGATAGAGATTTTCTTTTTACTATATATTTTTGTGTTGTTTAATATTTGCAACAAGAATGTAGTCTTATATTTTTAATACTTTTTGTAATTTTTTTAAAAATTCATTAATGTGCTGATCTCTCTCAAAGTTCTGCTATCCACATCTATTTTTCTCAAAAAGGTTTAAGTTATCGTAGCATGAATTCAAAGGAAAGAAGATGCAGCTGTTGACATTCAAGAAATGTAATGGTCAAGGCAGTAATCTTGAAAGCCAATCTGAATTCTTCTAACTAGCAATACTTACCAGGTTCACACTTAAAAACTCTCAGCTGCAGTTTCTTCCCAATGCAGAGAAGACGCCCTTTTGACTTAGAACCAAGATGAGTAGAAAAAGGAAGATGGTGGGAGAAAAAGTAGGTCAGAACCAACAGCTCAGAGAAGAAAACTCAAGATGAGTGTGGGTGCTCAGAAACGTCCAGACAGTCTTGGGGAGCCCAAGGCTGCTGGGAGGAGAGGCGGAAGATAGCTTCTCCAGGACTGATGCAAGGAGGCTGCAGGCTTTTAGCTTCGGGCATGGTTAACGTGGCTGAGGGACAGTGACGTGGGGATGGTGGAAGGCCATGACCCGATGAGTCCAGGCCGTGTTTCCTGTTCCTCACAACCGGAGGGGCCCTCATGTCCCTGAAAGACCTGAAGCTTCTGAGGAAACACGTGGACCAGCAAGACCTGGGGTGCCAGGACACATGACTTAGAGTTACAGCCACTCTTTGAAGGATATTCTATTAGTAGTCTTACTTTTTATTTTGTTCATTTTTTAGAGACCCTATTCAAGCCTTTTTAAATGAGCCAACCTGTTTATAACTCTTCTCTTTTCAATCCATCTGTGTTTTCTTCTCTCCTCTCCCTGCTGTTCCCACTGTTCTGGGACGAGGTCATTTATCTCCCCTGGAAAACGGTGTCTCTTCTGAGAAGTAATATGAGCCCTACATGCCAAATAACACAGAAATCAAATTCTGCCACAACACCACCCCCTCCAAATTGGACAAGTTCATTTGGAATTTTAAATTGAATGTATTTCTTTTTCATTTAAAATGAATACATTTGTGGGCCATCAGGTTGGGCTTCTGAAGGAAAAAGATATACATGTATATGTGTGTATATATATGTATAAACACACACATTTCTGGTAATTTTGTTACCATAGAATTTGATCTGTAATAAAACCAATGAATATGCTAGTGTTGAGGTTTAAAATACTTATTTAGATATTCTGTAAGGAAGTAAAAAGATAAGAGGAAAATTAAATGGAAGTTAAATATCCAGAAATAAGACAGAATCAGTATTTTATACTTGGCAACATGGAGTGATAAAAGCACTGGATCTAGAGGCATGTGTTCAAATCTTTTTCCATCCACTGATTAGCGGTGTGAATTTGGGGTTGGTCATTTAACCTCCTTGAGTTTCAATTTCCTCACCCGAAAATGGAGATAACAACATGTAATCCACCATGCCACAGCGTGGTTACGACTGAGAATGAACTGAGACAATGCATATGTAGGAACCATGACCAGCGACAGCACGTGAGACAGCGACTGAAGAGTGCAGGGAGGTGGAGGGTGGAGCTAGGCCTAAATGCCTTTGTAACAAGACTCCATTTCTGTCTTTTAGAACTCTGTGATTATTCTGTAACAATTAAGCTGTCTCTGAACAATCTTTGAACACAGGTAAGATGGTGACAATACGGTCAGTGTGTAAATTGCCTGGCTAAGTGAAGCCAGGTCACCAACTTCTCGTATTTTTCACAAAATTGACCCATCACCTATTTTCACAGACCAGCTAGGAAGAGTCAGGAGAAATGAGTTCGCTTTTAATGAGTGCTTTCTGTGTGCTAGGCGTTTTACGTACAGCATTCCATTTAATATTCACAATGGGATGGGTATTATTTCCATTTTACAGATGAGGAAACTGAGGCTTAGACAAGTTTGGTTAAGATCACAGAGGTAGGGGGCAGAGGCACCACTATTTGAACGTGGTGCTGACCATAACGCCAAGTTTTTATCCTATTACAACATTGTCTGCCCAAATACCCAGCAGCTGACGTACAAAGAAAGCTTAATTTTCCACAGAATCAGAAGACTGGGATGATATGGCTGGTTGAAGTCTCAGATGTATCTTGGTCAGTAGTTTCACACTTTTCTTTCAGCCTTAATTAACAACAAATAATATATTTGACTGATTGATCTCTTCTTCCGTCCTCTGGTGTTCAAAATCTCTCTTGAATTCTTGTGAAAAGTTGCCCGCAAGACGTGAAATGGAGTGGTAAAGCAGGAAGAAGCCAGAGACTTTCCTCCAAATAGACTGTGGTCTGCACGTCTTCAAGGGGTGATTGTATAATTGGGGTAAAAATCAATTAGGGCAAAATTTGTAAACACCCAAGATGCTCCATAGCTAAAATGCAGGCTAGTTGTTTCCAACCTAGGGTCCCAAGATACGTGGGTTTCCTCAGAGGAGCTAGACAAAGGGAAGTCACAAATCATTTTCAATGTTTTAACAACGCTAACATAAAGGACATACCTTAAGTAAAGATGAATAGGCTAATACAAATTTCCAAGTATCTTTGCTTTGGGCTGGAGTTCATTTAATAACAATAACAACAAATGTTTACAGAGCACTTTGTGCTAGGCACTTCATATCCGTTGCCTCATTTGATACTCAGAATAACCCAGGAAGAGAGACAATATTATTCCCTTCTCATGGTGAGGAAACTGAGGCACAGAGAGGTTGAGTGGCTTGCCTAGGACGGCATGGCTAGAAGGCGTGAGAGCTGAGACTCACTATTGCAATCGTTGTCTCCTGGCGACTGGAAGCGACCTGTGACAGGTACAGACGTCTTTAAGTAATGAAACATGGCAGGAAGTGGGCATATATAAGATGTCTGTGACAGGTACAGACGTCTTTAAGTAATGAAACATGGCAGGAAGTGGGCATATAGTTTTACTCGGTCAAGGCAGAGGAATAATAAAAAGCAGTTCTTGATGGCAAAAAGCTTGGGAAGAGGTGAGTTACACCGTTCTGGAAGTGAGTGTCACTCTCTGGGAGCATTAGAACCTGAGGCAGCCTGGGCCCTGGATAACTTGGCTCCATCTGCGTGAGAGGAAATCAACAAAGGTGACATTAGACAACCTAACCTCATAGTGAGTATAATGTCCAGAAAAGAAACACACACACACACACACACACACACACGTGCCGGTTTCACTGCAAAGATGGAGGCACAGTTGGGTAGCCTCAGTCTTGAGGCAATAATGTTGCCCTAATATTTGCACTTCTTCTTACGCATCTGTGAGAGAGAGTCCACAGGCTTCAGAACTTTTCAGTGCAGTTTCCAGATCCATTGAACGGGAAGCAGTGCAACTGACAAGAGCGCCACCTCTGAAGCCAGACTCCCTGGGATCAAATCCAGGCGCTTCACCAGCCGTGAGACCTTGGACATACTACTTCACCTTCTGTGCCTCAGTTTCCTTACGTATACAATGGGGATAACAATCATAATACCAGACAGGGTTGCTGTAGAGATGAAAAGAGTTGGTCACCGTAAAGCACTTCAAACAACGCCTGGCTAGCAAGAAGCACTGGATAGCTATTATTATTGTCGAATGAAGAAATCTATGGAAACAGTAAAGAAATCTGTATCTGGCTTGAGAACAAAAATAATAAATGAAAATGATAAAAATCAGGATAGTGGTTACCGCAAAGGAGATAGAGGGGCTTATTGTTGGAAAGGGCAACTGGGAAATTTCTGGAGCTGATAATATTTTGTTTCTTGATCTGGGTGGTAATTACACAGGTATTCGCTTTACAAAAATTTATTAGGCTTTGTTTAGTTTTAGCACTTTTCTCTGTGTGTGTTTTTAATATTTCATTAGAAAGAGGCAAAGAAGAGGAAAATGAAGGAGGAGGAGGAAGAGGCAGAGGGAGGGAGAAGAGGAAGAGGTGGAAGAAGTCGAAGGAGAGAAAGGAGAAAGGGAGCCTTATCCAGGGTGACCTCCCTGTTACTCAGCACTTTTGCAACAAATGGCCATTGCACAGAAAATCCAAGCCAAGATCTGTTTTTAATCTCTACATTTCAGGTAAGAAAACTCTGGCATGAAGAGTGCTTAAACTGCATCTCGTTCAAGGTACATGAATAGCTGAATTGAAATGTGATTCCTGAGTCCCAG